GGCAGCCCTGGTGGAGGATCCCAAGTGCACCGGCCAGTACCCCACTCTGGGTCCTTCCAGGGTCTCAAGTGCACTGGCCAGTTCCCCGCTCCTGGGTCCCCCAAGGAGGGTCTGTGTGAAGGAGGGCCCACCAATGCCAGGAGATCCCACCAGTTCCAGATAACAATTCGGAGCTGAGGAGGGCAGTGTGGTGGGCTGGGTCACCCACACAGGGGACGAGAGAGAGGGGTCAGCTCAAAGGCCGTGCTGTCCTAGCAGAAGCACGAGCCAGGGGAAGGGCCAGGCCCTCAAGGAAGACAGACACGCGTGAGCAGGAGAACTCGCAAGTCACATGGGCCCACAGGAATGCAAGCTGTTGCCGGGACTGGAGAATGGGAGTTCAGTACAGCAGCGTTAGCTGGGGAGGGGTCAGGCAATGGGAGTCGAGCCCTGGAAAGCTGGTTCTGACCAGGGAGACCCCCAGGACTGTCCCAGAGCTTAGAGCGAAGCCTGGGGCCAGGAGGGGCAGCGAGGCAGGAGATTTAGATGAGAGCCATCACGCTCGGCCAGAAGAACCCGGGCTCTGCCAGGGCTGGCACCCCCCCCCCCACCACCACCACCACCACCAGTGCCTTGTGCTAAGTTCGAGAGCCTGAGCACAGGCTTGTCCTGAGCTTCACAGCCAGACGCCCAGCATTGGTCATCAGGAGTGAGCAGTGAGGTCATAAGAAATACAAAATTTGAGTAGACCAATCACAAGGAAGGAGAGTAGTGAAAAACCTCTCAACAAAGAAAGGCCCAGGGCTGGATGGTGTAGTCAGTGGCTGTATTCGATATGCCAAACACAGTAACAACGAAGTCTCCAACGGAGACGTTACTGGGCCCGCTCAAGCAAATCGATGAACAACGGGAGGGCCTGTAACAATTACAGAAAATTAACACCAATCTGAGATTCCGCCATAAAATAAGAGGGATAGTCCAGTGGGCAGGGCACGTGCATGCTGCTGACTTGGTTTTGATCCCTGGCACTCCATATGGTCCCTTGAGACCTGCCAGGAGTGATCCCTGAGCACAGAGTCAAAAGTAAGCCCTGAGCACCCCAGGTGTGGCCCAAAATACTAAACACACACACACACACACACACACACACACACACACACACACAACAAAATCCATAAAAGGGCAGCATTACTGTGACACTCTTTCTAAACTCATTTTATGAAACCAGCATTATCCTGATACCAAAAGCAGACAAGGACACCACGAGAAAAGAAAACCATATCCAACATCCCAAGTGAATAGAGCTAAAAAGGTTCTCAGTTAAATGTTTGAAAACTGAAATAAAAAAATAGCACTGTACCACTGTCCTCCTGTTGTTCATCGATTTGCTTGAGTGGGCACCAGTAACAGTCTCCATCGTGAGACTTGTTACTGCTTTTGGCATATCGAATATGCCACGGGGAGTTTGCCAGGCTTTGCCGTGCAGGCGAGATACTCTCGGTAGCTTGGCGGGCTCTTCAAGAGGGGCGGAGGAATCGAACCCAGGTCAGCTGAGTGCAAGGCAGATGCCCTACCCACTGTGCTATTGCCCAAAAAATTGACTAGGAAAAAGATGACAGCAAAGCAAACCCTGCTGTTTGGGGAAATACTCGAAGCATAGGACACTGACAGCCTCGGTGTAACGGTCTCAGCAGAGTTCTCATCTGATGCCCAGATGGGAAGAGAACGGAGGTGAGCCTGGAGAGGATGAGGGCACGCACTCCCAGACAGAGCAGAAGGCAAGCAGGCACTCCGGGCAGCTGCTTGGGCAACATCCCCAGGATGGGAGGCATCGGCACAGTGCACGGCTTCCTTCCGAGCTGATGAGCTGATGAGAAGGAAGAGCCAGGCAGCGCCGAATACCCATGTTCCCTCTGGAGACCAACACCCTAGACAGTGCTCATCCCACCCATTCTTTCCATTTGTGAACTACTACTTTTAGTCTGCACTCAGGAAAGACTAATTCTACCGACAGAATACGCAGAAGTGGGTCAGCAGACGCCTCCTCGGGGAACCCGGTGCTAACCTCCGGCTCCTGAGGCCCACAGATGACCACCAGTGAGATTCAGCCAGACCTGTGCGTAAACTACTGAGGATGCTCCTCTCCATCGCCTCCAGATGTTGGACAGCCAACAGGAGCCACCAAATACAGACGAACTGCCCAGCTGAGTCCTGGCTGTCACAGGCCCCAGGTCACGGCATCACCCGTGCTCGGAGCAGCTAAGCACCTTCTCACTCTTGCCATGACATGGCCCCACAAGAGGCCCCCAGGCTGCTGCTGGCACTGTCCCGGACGCCTGCTGTATATCTTGAACGTGACTTCATTTATGAGGAGTTTGAGTTGCAGGAGGCTTTGAGACAGAGTCAGCTCAGTGCCGTGTCTCACTGGAGGTTTCTTCACACACCGACGCCTATGCCTCCATGGGGGAGATCGGACCTTTTCAAGGACATAAGTGTGGGTCCAACAGAGCACAGCAGGCCAGCCCAAGTGGCCTACTGGGCATCTGTACCCACCATGAGCTCCTGGGCCCTCACCTCTCTCAGTCTGTTATTCTGGAATCCTGAAGAAATTCCCAGGGTCTCCCTCCTACTGAGCTAAGGGACTTAGCAAATAAAATTTGGTTATGATTAAATAACTATACAAGTTTCTTGCAAAACAAATCTGCCAAAACCTTTCATTCAGTTATGGGTATTTTTTGCTAACATGATCTGGATGTTTATAGGAAAAATAACTCTCAAGCCACATCAGGCACAAAAACACAGCTGGACTATTTATACGGCCTCCGCAGCTCTTGACCCTGCTGTTTAATTGTGAACACAATTGCGCACTGTATTCACGAGGCCCTGGACTGTCCAGGCAAAGCCACCCGCACTCCACACACTCTGGAATCTGTATCTCCAGGAACACCTGGAGCCGAATGCCAACCTGCAGCATTGGCAGCTTCTCCAGTCTCCTGGGCACGGATCCTGGTCTACTTCTATATGTTGGGTATTAGGTGGGTCCTTGAGCTGCCCTGGGGCCCACCCCACCTTCTTCCCTGGTCAACCTGTGTGGGCGACTGCCTCTTCCATCTCTGAACTGAAAGACCAAACAGAGAAGATGCTTCAAGTCCACCTCCCCATCCTCTGGCCACGATTGTCCAGTGGCACAGGGGCCAGCAGCCAGTCCAGAACTGCAGGTATCCCAGGACATGGGGCCAGACTCCACCAAGCTAGACCTTAGACTGAGAGTGGAAGCCAGTCACCATCTATGGCACTGACAGTCAGGGCTGGTGGAATGAGCCCCTGAGCGACCCTGGATCCCACAAGAACCCAGGTCTGCATTCCTACCCATGGGCAGTGGGATTTCATGTGTGAAGAGGTCAGAGACTTCGCTTTCCCTTGGAAATCCACACTGAGTCCAAGCGTCATGCTCCGTGTCCTGCCAAGACCCGGAAAGGCAAATCCTATACCTAAGAAGCATCTGGGAGAATAGAGATTTGTCCCTGGCCTTGGGTAAGACCTGATTTCTCTAGATCGCCAGCAATGACACTGTGACCCACACAAGCAGCACCTTACATCAGACTCATGAAGACTGAAGACATCTGCTCTTCATGTGACACCGCTAATGGCATGTGCAAATGAGACAGCAAAGAAGGAAAATACTACAAGTCTGTGTGTTTCGATGAGCATGGAGGGGAGAGCAGGAGATGGGCACCTTGATGACACATGCTGCCCGTCACGGCCCAAGACAGACCAGGCGCACACAACCCACCCGAGCACATGGTCACGAGCACATGGTCACGAGCACATGTGCTCCAGGCCCCACTCAGCTCCCACAGCTCCTTTTCCCTCCCCCCAAACCACTGGGTCTCTTTCCGGTCTTCCTCCAGGATGGCGGGGGGTCCAGTGTCCCCTGAGCCAGCTGCTCCTGAGGGCAAGTCAAGGGTCAGTCAGACTTGGCTGCAGGGAGCACCGGGACAGCTCCGTGCCTGGTCCACACAGACAACGCAGGGTCACACCAGAGTCTCACCTTCATCCTAAGGAATGAGAGAGCAGTCCTTTCCCAAACGGGGTGCTGCAGAATTGCACAGGCCCGAAGGGGCCACGTGTTGGGGCTCCAGCACTGACCAGCTGGCGAGCAACCCACAGCGGGCCCCCCAGAGCCCTTCCAAGGTGCAGGGATGCTGCGCTCCACTTCCTGCCTCCTCCCCACCCGCACTTGCCCTTCAGAGCTGCCCCCACACACAAGACCCAGTGCACCCCAGGGCTGGTCAAGCTGCCCCACACAGTCTGAAGGACAAGAGAAAACTGTGGGCCCAGCCGAGTGTACAGAGGTCAGCACCGAGGACTAAGGCAGCCCCAGCCAGCACTTCCCTCCCTGGTGCATAGAGGGGATGTCCACTCTTTTCTCAAAGACACGGAAGTCCAGCTGCACAGAAAGGTCCTGCCTGGACAGCCCCCTGCTCCCTCCCTCCCTCCCACACACTCTGAAGCACCTGCCCTGGCGGGACACATGGATGCCACCCTGGCCTCGGGTCCCCGGCAGGAACGGCGGGTGCCAGGGAACAGGCAACCCCTGGCAAGATACGCCAGCCTGGCCTGGACCGGTGAGACTCGGCCAGTCCCAGAGAAACCGGAACTGCAGTATCCGCTGCATCTTGGTACCACCAGTGGCCCCATGTGCCAAACTTCGGGCCTTGAGGGCACCAGCTCAGAGGAAGGGCCGCTGCAGCTTCTCCCCAGGCCTCGACCGAGGCCGACCCAGCTGAGGGCGGTGAGGGCAGCGTCTGCGGCAGGCAGAGGACAGCCAGGCCCCCACTCGAGGTCTGTGCATGTTTCCTCCTTCTCTGGTGAACGTGACACTCGGGTCCCAAACCTGGCACCAGCGCACTGAGAGCTCAGTCACACTCAGACCTGCATGCGGTCAGTCTGGTCACGTCTCCAGTATAGGACGCTCCTGTCACGTCCCTCTGCCACCAGAAGCAAGAGGCGGCACTTACCGTGGCCAGTTCGTCAAACTTGCCAAAGAGCTCATTGAGGAGTTTCACCAGCTCCTGGGCCGTGCACTGCGAGGCCAAGCCCGTGAAGCCTACGATGTCAGCGAAGAGGATGCTGCAAGACAGACAGACAGACAGACAGACGGACAGACAGACAGATGGAGGAGAGATGACATGGCGGCCAGCTCGGGCACACGGCTGCCAGCCGAGTCAGGGCAGCCTGCACGCTATTGGTCCAGGCAGGCTAGAAATGAAGGCTCTGCAGTGCCCATTTCAGAAGTGGAAAGACTGAGTCGGGAGACGTCTCAGTCCTATGCTTTTCTGCCAAGGTTCCCCAGGACACAGGGAAGCAGCCCCATGAGCCACATGGACCCTCCCGGGACAGGGGGCAGAGCTGAGACCAATCGACCTATGCTGAAAGGGGCAACCCGCGTTACGGGCATGAAGGCAGGACCCCAGAAAGTGGGAGCCAACATACCAGGCTGGAAGCGGACCCACATCCCTGAAGGCCCCTACCCCAGTGACCACACTCACGGTGCGTCAGGGTCACGTGCCCGCGCTCACTCCCTGACCCAGTTACCACCCAGCCTACAGCACCTGTGATCCCACAAGGAGAGTCATCTGAGTGTGCCTACACCACTGGCAGGGCCACTGACCTGCGGAGCCCGAGGGGGCCGTGCAGGACACGGCAGTCCCTGTCTGAGGCGGGCCCAGGCCCACCTGCGTCTCAGAGCCGCCCTTTCCCTCCTCTGCCTGCTGACAACCAGCCTCCAGCCCCCTTTCCCTGCCCACTGGCTTCGTGGTCTCGGGGACCCACTCTGTCCACAGACCCAGCTGAGCACTGCACACCTTCAGCAGAGGAGCCTCGAGCCTCTGTCCCGGCCTGTGCTCCACCCACCCACCCCCAAGCACCCAAGGAGCACCTGGGACACTGCTCTCACAGGTAAACCGGGCTGCAGAGCACAGCAGGCAAGGATGCACGGAGGCCCGAACTCCGCAGGAACAAACAGCACCTGCCTCATGCCACACGGCTAGGTGGGGCCCAGAACCCACCAAGAAACTATAGGAAGGGAGGCAGGAGAGAAAGGGAGGGAGGGAAGAAAAGGAATGAAGGGAGAGAGGAGAGGTGGGGAGGGGAGGAGAGGGAAGAGGGAGGAAG